CGGGACAGCCCCGGCGGGTCGGGGGCACCCCTAGGAGCTCAGGGTTAGTTCCTGGGGCTCGGGACCACCCGTGGGATCTCAGGGTCACCCCAGAAATTGGGGTCAGCCTCAGGGGCCTGAGGACACCCCTGGGGGCATGGGATCACCCGCAGAGACTCAGGGTGACCCCTAGGAGCCTGGAATCAGCCCTGGGAGCTCGGGATCACCCCCGTGGGCTTGGGGTCACTCCTGGAGCTCAGGGTCGGGCTCGTGGTCAGCCCTGGGGCTCAAGGACATCCTTGGGGCCCCCCCAGAGTCTGGGGATCCTGTGGGTCAGGGCTCAGCTGGTGGCTCACACCGACCTTAACAGCACCTGTAGCAGGTGAATGCCCTGGAGATCACCCCAGACCGGAGCATGATCGCGGCTGCAGGTGAGCTCACCTGTCCCCGGGCACACCTGTGCCACTGACCCCCAGGCACAGGGAAGGTGCTGAGCCCCTGCCTGGTCACTGCAGGGTACCAGCACATCCGTATGTACGACCTCAACTCCAACAACCCCAACCCTGTCATCAACTACGACGGCGTCAGCAAGAACATCACTTCCGTGGGCTTCCATGAGGATGGGAGGTGGATGTACACTGGTGGGGAGGACTGCATGGCCAGGATCTGGGACCTCAGGTGGGCACGGAGACCTGAGGTGGGCACAGGCCTGGATCCGGGCCCTGAGGTGGATCTGGGACCTGAAGTGGGTGCAGGGCAGGATGTAGGACCTAAGGTGGACACAGGGGGTGGATCTGGGACCTGGGGTGGGCACAGTGCATGGATCTGGGACTGAGGTGGGCACAGGGGTGTCCCTGTCTCCAGCACTACCCCAGAGCTGTGTGTCTGGTCTCAAGCTCTTAACCACCTCTTTCCTCCCTGTCTGCAGGTCTCGGAACCTCCAGTGCCAGCGCATTTTCCAGGTGAATGCTCCCATAAACTGTGTTTGCCTGCACCCCAACCAGGTGAGGACACTGCCTCCTTCATAGTTCCCAGCTCATAGAGTCATGGAATCACAGGTTTGATCTTCCAGACCACCCAGTCTCACCCCCTGCCATGGGCAGGGACACCTCCCACTAGCCCAGGTTGCTCCAAGCTCCATCCAGCCTGGCCTGGAACACTCCCAGGGATGGGACAACCACAGCTTCTCTGGGCAATCTGTTCTTCTGAGTAAGCCTGAGCGGCTGCAGAGTTGTATCCCAGGAGACCTGGCAGAAGATTTGGAGGTGCCTGGGGACAGTGCCACCTTCCTGGTGGCACCACCCCAGAGCTCTTGGTGGCATTGCTGGGCAGGCAGCAGCCACCTTCTCACTCCCCATTCACCTGCTCCCTGCCCTGCTGGTGCCAGGATCTTTGGGTCAGTGTGGAGCAGAGCCCATGGGACACAGTAGCTGGCACATAGTCCCTCTGTTCCTCCTGGAAAGCAGCACTGCTGGGGAGGGACACAAACCTTGCCGAGCAGCAGGGCTGGGGGTAAGCAGGTGGCACAGGCTCAGGCTGTGCCCATAGCAGGGAGCTGTGCACAGCCTGGAGACTTCAGCCATGTGTTGGTGCTGATTACCTGGTGGCTGTGGCAAAGGGACAGCACAGGGGCTCATCCCATCGGAAGAAGCACACTTTTGAGGCTAGATCAGCCCTGGGATGTGATTGGAGCAGAACTGGTGGTGTGGAGAGGGCTGGGAAGCTTGAGGTTGGCACCGCTACCAAGGAGAAGTACCTCAGGGCCCACAGCCATGATTCCCTTCAGATC